GCTCATAATAATTATAGAAGGATGATGCACACATGCACCCGTAGTTTTCTATTAGACTGCTAGCTTTGAACTTTTGCAATCTAACAGATCTACCGTTGGGCAATTTGTGAATCAATACCTTTCTATCCCAGTCGAACTGCGGTTGCGCGACCTCGAGGTAGTACATACCTAGGAGCATGTCAAATGGCAGTTCGTCGCTAACCAGGAAGGAGATTTTATGACTCACTTCCCCTCCTCCATAGGAGAAGGTGCAGACTATGTCCTAGACATAGTCTTTCACCAACATTTGGTGCTTGTTGGCCAGCGTAGAAGCTTCAGTTCTGCTAAGCCGCTGCGCTTGGTCCCCTAAGCGCAGTCTATCCACACAAGCACGACTGATGAAATTTCGTGTAGAGCCTATGTCTGCGAAGGCGCCAACCTTGCGGCCACCTACATCTACTTCTACCACGAAATGTGCACCCTTTGGACCTCTACTTATCATCGCCCAAGAGTCCCTGGGGTCCTTCCCTGACCACTCAGTCTCTAACTCTTCTAGGGCCTCGGACACATCTCTCGAACAAAGCGTCGGTGGGTCTGAATGTGTCTGCGGGGCGATGTGTGGGTCTCTAGCCTTGGCCAACGCCTGAAGTGGGGAAAGCAACGTTACCACTTCAGCGCGAGTAAGAGCGGCTAACACTCCTACTGGCCCGAGGTGTTTCCCTGTGAGCTGCTCGCAGAAGCACTCCCAGGATTTGAAGATAAGCCCACCACTGTTGGCGAGGCTACCTTCGTTGTGACCGAGCTTCTAGGGGCACTTGCATGAACTGCGCCCAACTGTCTCTGTATGAGGCTGTGAATCACGCCCAGGGCCTGCATTCTTTGGAAAGGCCCGGAAGGGGTGGAAATCTCTTTGTTGCTAGGCCTGTGTTTATTTCAACCAACTGGCGCGTCGCAACTGCCTGGACCCCAAATATGAAATTGACAGTCGAGGGCCTCTTGCAAAAAGCCAGTCCCGCCTTCACTTAGGGCGGGCACCTCCGCCTTCACTTAGGGCGGGTAAGGCTGCAAACAGGGCCCCATAGGCCTATCGAGGACCCTGATCCTCGCACTGGGAACCAAGATTGCATTAGTTGCATAAACAAGATCTCACTGTGATCAGCTAATAAGTACTCATTGCAAGCTCTAGCCTTAAGCGAGTGGTTGCAGAGAGCACACTTCGAACAACCAGGGCTGATAGCCTATTATTAGGTCCCAGAAACTGACACTCTTCCCACTTTCGCAAGGCATAGTGAATTGCAGGGTTATGTTTCAGATTGCATGCTCAGTGATAAAAGTTCAGACTGCCATTTCGGCCTCATTGCCGTTTCGTAACTAATCTCTACCATTAGAAACACATGCTAATCAAAGGAATATACTGCAATTAGTTACCCCAAGTGAATCTGTTAATAACTGCTGAAAGCGGCCCGTCATTTAATTACTGTGCGGTAATAGCACTCGATGTAGTACTGCACTAGTTAGCACATAACACAATTTACTTTTGGGTGGTCCCAAAGTATTACTAGCAAGGAGTTATTACTGATGGCAACCCCAGCTCAAGTAATGCACAGGGCGACTACTGCTCTTGTGGCCACAAAATACAATGAACAAGTAATAATAAGCACAAATTTACAAGCTACGTAACCGAATGGAGGGTTGTCGCGATTACTCAGACAACTATCTGCTCGGTATAGTGCATATGATTCCTGTCTTCTAGGTCACTATCAGTCATTTATCAGTCTCCATCAAGGAGTAGCGTCATCAGAACGTATGCTATTTTCCTTAGCACTACCCATTTCTTTCCCATCAAATTAATGAAGACAATATACAATTACTGAAACAGCTAGCGCGGAGTCCGACATCCCCCTCTCATGCGTCAAGGCAAAGACTCTTTTCCAATATAAAATAATCTCTTTCTTCAACTTCGCTCAGCGCCGATGGGGTAGAGCTTTGACCAGTGCCTCTCGGCTGATCTGATACCACTGCCAAGCGCGCCCAATCCTGGTAAACACAAGCCAAGCCTTTCTCCTTCTCAAGAAGAGAGACCAAGAGTGAAGCACTAATAGCAAGCTTGACCCCAAGTTGACAGCTCACAGAGAATCATTTGAGTAAAAAAAAAGAAAAAGGGATAGAATAAGATTAGAAGATCTTATCTGATTTATCCTGCTTATTATCAGCCCGGTGACTTACAACCCTCATCTCAGATCAGATCTCTCTTGCAAATTCTCTCTAACATAATCGAGCGAGGTAGGCCCTTTTGTGACTCTGGCTAATAATTGTACAAAGGAAGCTGAGGCTCGTAATGCAAGAACCGCCAACAAGATGACATTAAAGAGTGACTGCAGGAGCGTTCATTTGAACGAGAAGAGTTTGTGCGTAATCTGGCTGAATGAATCACTTGTCTCGTGCGTGTACCGTTAGCTACTTCCTTAATTATGAGCACGCATGATTCTCGTCAGGCAAGAGCAGAGCAGGTGATGTCGACACAGGATGTGCACTCTTCTCGATGAAGATCATTCACTGGCAAATGAGAAGTCTGACTCAAAGTGATGATGGCGTTGCTAGCACTCCACTTCACGCATCAGTTCTCATCGAGGAAGGTCTTCCGATGCAATCTCGCCCTGTAACTTGTACCCACTCGATCATACCCCTGGCTCTGCGCTTTGGTTCTCTCCTTATAGGCTATAATCAACCATAACTGCCTCTCAACTTCGACTTCTTCTTTATTAAAACTGTGGTGGTTCTCAGTAGAGAAGACACTCATTGGCTGGAGAGAGCATGCAGACGGAAGAGACGCCCACAACAACATCAGGAGCGATGCTCAATGGAAGCAAGAGTTTGGGACAGTTGACGTCAACTATTATGCAATCTCAAGCAGGACTCCCAAAACGAGAAGTCCGCCTCCCTTTCTCTCACGTGACGCTAGTACTTCATCCGCTTCATTCTTCCTAAATCTATAACCGCCTCGCAGGATGGCTCATGACACCACCTCTCAGTAGGAGGCAACAATCAGCTCGAAGAAGAAGACTAGTAGTGACAGCAGATTCCCCGTGGACTAGTTGCTTACATCATTGAGCTTATCCTCTCTTGTGCGCTCAAAGTTTCCAAGGGCTGTCATTCAACCTTAGTAACTGGTAAACTACATGCCCTTTCTCATAATCTCCACACATTGGGCGTCTCAGTTCCTGTCTCACACTACCTGTACCATGCACACTTGCTTGCTATGGTCTCATCAAGACCTGGAAGAAACATGCCGTGGCAGGTAACAAGAGCCATGTCAGGGAAAAACAGAGGACGTCAACGGTTGGAAGCTCGTACGCCTCTCACAAATGATTGCAAATTCAGACCCTCTGTTGCCTCACACGTGTACCTCGCACCTTACACAGCCCATAGCTCTCTGTGTCCACCACTGCTCTCTCTCTCTCTCTCTCTCTCTCTCACACACACACACACACACACACACACACACACACACACACACACACACACACACACACACACACACACAACTGCCCATCTTTCCTTTCGAAAAGTCTGCCTCCTCTACTCCTGGGGCGTAGCTAGTCCCCCACGTGTCTGAGACACTCACTCTCTTGTAAGCTGCTTTTCTCACGCGTTCCTGCTTTCACTGACTGTGACACTCCAGGGCCGAGCGTAACTGCTTCTTGGTCCCCCAGACTTCGTTCCGTCGCCGAGAGTTAGCCTCTGGGCCATCCTCCGCAGACTCAGCAGGCCGGTGGTCCTGCCTCCACTGTCCCAGACCGTGCCAAGACTGAGTCTCTGCACCACTGGCCTCCGACTCGGCCTCAGAGTCGCAGTCCAACGCCGCTGCGCGCTGTCCGTGCTTCCGGTAGAGGTCTCAATCTCGTGATCTTGAGACCGTCACCTGGATCTCCGCCATGACTCCATCCCCTTCTTTGCCACCGCTTGGCTCGATTCTTGGCCTCTCTGATCGCCGCCTGCAGCCTCTGGTCCTTTCTCATCACCTCTTCTCTCCCTCCCTCGACATTAATCTTTAGTTTCGCATCATCACCATCGAAGTACAGGCTCGTTGTGATCCAAGGGCCTTTCTCTAATGCTATGGCCCAACGTACCAGGAGCCTCCAGGCCTCTGGTCTATAGCCCTCTAGCCCCTTTCGGCACGCCATAGCTGTTAGCACTGCCAATTGATGACCTCAAGCACACACCCAAGTCACTGGACCACTAGGCTCAGATAGCCAATACCAAAGTGCCCTTTTTCTGGCACCGCGATCCCGATCAGTAGAACTGGAACAGCATAGCCTCTAGCGTCCACTGATGTTGCGAGAGCGTCATCCTTGCAGCTATTCTTTTATAGAGCTTTGACAGTGCTGCAGCCCCTGTGCTCTAAACGGCGAACTGAAGATTTTTTAAATCGGTTAATAAAAGTTAAGTATAATAAAATAAAGTATTGACCAATAAAACAATCCAAATCGAGTACACCAACTCAATCTGAAAAGACAGCAAGCTTGGCGTGCAGCATGGTCCCATAACAGGATACCGAAGAGGGGTTGTCTTAGGACCTCCTCATATCGGGAGCCATAACAGGCGCCAAAACAATCCAAATCGAGTACACGATGCTGCACGCCAAGCCCCTGTTATGGGACCATGTCGAAGAGGGTCTGCGATCCGTCTGTTGCCGAAGAGTGGTTGTCTTAGGACCTCCTCATATTGGGAGGGGAAGGTAGGGGCAAACTGCGCCATGTTTTTATCAACGACACCCATAAGTTGTCCAGCAGTAAGTCACTTCTAGCCGCTCCCCTCAATCCATGTTCTCTGGATAGTGTCTTTGCCCTTGGAATGCTCCAAAATAAATCCTCGATCCACGTGAGGGGATGAGTGTCTTCTGTGGTTAGTGGCGCCAATCTTCGGATTTGTTCCAGAGCCATTGGCTGCCAGGGCTTATTGTTAGAAATAATCAGATCCTTTATCGATTGGAGTGTTTGCGATTGACATTGTAGAGTCGGATCAAGAAGAACTATGATCTAACCCAGAAGAAAAATAAGAAAGGGAAAATCTTTAGTGATGATTGTAATTGTGAATGTTTGCTGGTTTTGACCTATTGTGCATCCATTTATTTCCAGTAAAAAGGAAAGCTTTACTGACAAGTGTGAATGTGTACTGTTTTTGAGTTGTTTTCTCAGGGTTCTCAATGTCAGAAGAGGAGGGAAGTGAGCCACAGGGTTTTTACTTTGTTCCACTGCAGAAAAGGTACCCCAATGGTAATCGAGATTGCCGGAGCACTCCTGGGGGGTACTGGAAGAAGACAGGAGAGGATCATCCTGTGATCGGGGGTGGAACAGAGAAGATATTGGTCTTCTATGCGGGGAAGAGAAAGGATGGGGTGAAGTCATCATGGGTAATGAAGGAATACCGGCTGAACCTTGGTCCAAACGAAGGGCGACCGGATGTCTTGTGGGTGGTCTGCAAGATTTACAAGCAGGAGAAGGAGAGAAGGGGGAGAGGTAGCAGCTCTGTTCCACAAACACCAATAAACACTGACAAAGGCCGTCTGCACGGGCTTGATGATCTTCCCGGCAGTCCGATGGATTCAACAATTTCAACTCCACTACGCGCAAATATGCTCGGGCAAAATGGTAGTGGTTCCTGTTTGGTGGACACTCCATCGCCAGGGGATGTCTCATACGTGAGAAAGCCCGGTACTGCTTCACGAGGAAGCAGCAGTCGCTTCCAGGCGTCATCCAAGAACCTTAGAGAGAAGCTAGACACTGCTGAAGTTATGGGAAATGCTGAAGCCGGTGACAATGCACAGAACACAGACCAAGGTATGGTAGTGTCTGATCATACAGAGCCACAAGCATATTATTGGGGCGGTAGTGGAATTGTCTCGGACGTGAGGCTACTGCCAAGCCATCTTGAGGCGGTGTCTGGAAGTAGTGGATGTCAGGTGCTGCTCAATGTAGGTGAGTGCACTGGAGACCAGACCAGACTGGAACGGGATGGGTGTCAGCCGTCGGACGCATCTTTGCAGTCGTTTCCCGAGCGGCGGATGTCTGTTGTTGGGACGGCTGGGCAGCAAGGTGTCGCCAAAAGCACGCCGGACGCTGGTCAAGTGGTTGTCAAACAAGAACCAATGTTTGATGGACCTGTTCCTTTGTTGGAGTCGCAGGATATGAGCTCTCTGTTGAGCGGACTCGCACATGATACTCAGTCACAGGAGAACTTCGTGCAGAACCTCGTTGTGGCAAACCAGGTCCGGGATGTGGGGAAGGAGACCATGGAGGTAGGGCGAGAGATGGAACCTGGTGATGGAACGGATTGTGCTAACCTTGCAGGGCAATACTTTGACCAAAAATGTTCACAAGATGAGACAAGTCTTGAAAACCTGGCTTCGCCCGCTCCACTGGCTTCTACTGTCCAGCTCATTGGTGAAGGGGAAGATGTTCGAAAGTGGAGCGGCTGCAAGTTTTCGAAAGGCGATGACCGGTTGACACTCACTCAGGAATTGAATGAGGAAGGCTACAAGAATGGGACTCATCTGATTGGATCCCCGGTTGGCACGCAAATTGCAGCGGTTGATGATTTGACTGGTGGCCCAAATCACAGAGGAAATGTACAATGCACATCAAGGATTCCTGGACAGAGTCGAGTGGTCGGAGGAGGACCTGTCACATTCTCCTCCTCTCTACTGTTCCAAAAGCAACCAAAGCGCAGCTTGTTCCATGCCGCAGGAATTGGCAATGGTGAGGGTGAGGAGGAGATCGGGTTTGGAAATCAATCGTATGAGCTTTCTGCTGTCGTCCAAGGATACACTCGTTTAGGATGTGGCTATCCTCAGTTCATCACTTCGCAGTCATCTCCTCAGATGGGGGACGTCTCCAGGACACCATGTGAGCCGCATGGAATGGAGATTTTGTTGGCGTCCGACAAAAGCAACTCTCAGACCACAATTAGTTATGACATTCTCCACCCTTCAATAGTGGGGTCATCTCTGAGGCCGCACAGCGGTAATACTCCGATCCGATCTCAACGAATGAACACTTTTGAGTCGGGGTCGAGATTGGGGATCAACTCTCTGGATTGCGGAAGCGATGGCATAACAGATGTTGGAGACGGTGGGGGTATTGCGGAGCTGGTGAGTGGAGTGAAGAGGTCTAGTCCTGGCCAACCTGCTTCGGTGGACGGCTCGTTTTCTAAGTTAGCCCGGCGAGGAAGTGGAAAGGATTCTTCAAGTCCGAACTCTGAAGCTCAGTCCCACGGTTATGGGTCTCCGCGGGATGTAGAACATTCCGTGATTGAGAAGGGCAGCTTCTTTGATGGGGGAAGGAGGAAGCTGAAAAGGTTGGCGCCAATTCCTGGAAGAGATGAACCACTCCAACCCATCACAAGGATTTCTGCGCACACTTTGGAAGGACACCAGGATCTCGGGCAGACATGTCCTCCCTCGCTGCTGGAAGTATCTCATAGTTCGGTGATGGTAGGAAGAGGTGAGCGAACTCCTCCAGTACTACCAGTGCCGAGCAGGCGCTCAGGCACACATTATGGTGACGATTGTCTGCCACTTGTTTGTGGCATGGAAGACAAGGAAGAAAGGACAGGTGGGAGCACTGGCTTGGGGCACTTTGAGGACGTCTGGAGCAGCCGGGCTGTAAAATACCTCTTAGGGGGGGATGAGACCATCACAGGTCCACCTACCCCCTCATCACAGGATCAGTCACTGGACAGATATTTTGCAGAGGTACGTGTGTCTGAAGATATTTAACTCGGCCTACCATTCCATAGCCTCTGTACGCAGTCTATGTCATTCTCTTGCAATTGCTGGAAACCTTGCTCATCGCTCTATTGCTTTTGCTTACTGTCTTCATTTTCCAGTGCCAGTCGAAATGGGCGATGTTTATTGGGTGCTGGCTAATTGAACAGAGTCATTATTCAACGTTTACCTGCTATCGCTTCCATGAGTGTATCTTCGTGAGATATCTAGGGAGGTTGTTGGCATGCCATATGATTATACTTTTTTTTGAGTTTTTTCCTGAGTGGGGATCCGGGCCACCCGGGTGACCGGCAGGGGCCCGGGGAAGGTCCCAGGCGGCAGGGCGGGCAGAGCACCCGGTTGGGGGACGGCCCCCCCCAGCGCACTCACCTGTCGGGGGATTTCGGACCCCCTTTGTGTGTGTGTGTGTGTGTGTGTGTGTGTGTGTGTGTGTGTGTGTGTG